CTGCTTAATGTACCTAATTTGAAACTCCAGTTCTGCAATGAGGCAACGAACGAGAATGAAGGCAAGTAATTTGGTCACCATCTGCGTTATGGTGAAACTCCTGCGGTCAGCACAGTATATATCATCACCAAGGTTAAAAAGTGCTGGCTCAAACGAATCTGTGATCGCGTTTCGGACTTCAGGCTACAATATCGCTATTACACTAACCGACCATGAGTCAGCCTGCAAAATCTTAGTAGGACGATACGCGGAGGCGGGGGGGGGGAAATGAACTGCTCTCCAAAGTGCTCCAACCAACGATCCATACAGCGCTCTTCAGTGTGTCAGAGCGATCACGAGGAGACTGGACCATAACGTGGTGCGATGATTTGTATGGCTCAGTGGTTCGTGAAGCTAAGCTGGGTGGCAAGTTTTGCACCTTCACAGCCACTCATACCAGATTGGTCAATGGTTAGAGACCAGACAAACTCAGTCACCTAGTTCTCCAGGTTGGGAGTTGGAGTGAGGGTGGCTCTTTACTCCATAAAACGGACGCTGTGTATCTCAGTGCCAAAACGCTGATGCCTTGCGGTCAGGATTTGAATACAAGGCTTTGGTTGAGAACCACAATCGTTCTCCCTCTAGGCCCGGGCAACCTGAGAGTTTTCTACACATGTAAGAAAACACTATGATTTTGCCTTGATGCTCTGGCCATCGCAGAGGATAATCAACGGCGTCCTATCTGCTGCATCGAGCAGAGTGGATAGGGGTTTGGATGTTAGTGCTCAGGCTTTCCCGTCTTCTTATCAGCCCCCTTGCTTGCTATCATCATTAGCCTCGCGCTCCAACTTCCCTTTTATCCCCTTATTTGCCATCCCCAATTCTTGGCCGTCCCCCATCTTGGTTCAACAACGGTTTATCTACTAGTTTCGACCCACATGCTATCGCAGGGCGTCGCCCCGGTCCAGTCGAAAAGTCCATGTTCAACCAAGCAGACAACGACAGTTTATCCGTTCATCTTTCGAGTCCTCGATCCTCGTTAAGACTGGCATGCCTCAATTTGCTACAGATTGGCCAACAGGCAACATTTGCCCGAACACTAGAGACCCTATAAATCGATAGTTGCTGTTAATCGGAAACCTGCTTGGAAACTTAGGGCTCCGTCCTTAATCTGCTATCCCCCATATGCAACACTGGCGGCACATTCACACTGCGCCTGTCTGGAGATGATGCAGCTTCAAATACCGGTTAAGCCGACGTGAGTATCGTTTTGAGTCACCAAGCTGAAGCTGCCCTGATAGACTGGATACCAGTCAACAACTGGATGTGTGCCGTTGAATTAACTGGCTCGTTTCAAGCTTCGACATAGCGCGGGGACAAATGGTGCCCGTTTGCCATCGATGCCCACGCGCCCACAAGCTGCAGCACTGATTCGGCGAAAGATGATTTCTATCACCAATTTAACGCGCTTCTCAGTCACAAAAAAGTACGGATACCGTGGTATCTGCTGGTGATCTAAACGCCCAAGTCAGTAAATTGACCTCTGATGAGCTTCATCTGGGTGGCCAACATGGCGCAGGCTCCCGTACTAATAATAGTGAACGGTTGCTACACCTGTGTGAAAATGCTAGTCTCTTGCTTGCGAGCACTAACTTTCAACACAGCACCCGCAGAAGAGTGACTTAGAGCCCATCAACCTCGGACCAGCCATGGGCACAAATCGATCATATCGCGATCAGTTACCGCAGGAGAGGCTGCGTCCAGAACTTTCACTCGATTTGGACCACATGTGTGGACACCGACCATGCACTTGTATGTGCTGACCTGCAAATGCGTTTTGGCAGACGCCCACGACGACGCTGTGAGCGCAATGACACTTGCCAACTGACGAAGCCAGCTGTACCGAATGCCTATCAAAGTACGTTGGCATGTGAGATGAGTAGGCGCCCATTGAATATAGTTAAAGATCACTGGTCGCATATCCACCAAAGGTTATTATCAGCAGGCAGGTCTTCATGTGGCAAATCAAATTGCCAACCTGGACATTGGGTCTCTATACAGTGACTGTAAGTTCTGGACACTCGCCGAGGTATTTCCGCTACAATGAGATTTACAAAAAGCTCAGGGCAAAACTGCGTGCAGTTTGAAGAGAGACAGCGAAGCTTGGTGGTCTCATCGTGCATCGTTGGTTACGAGCCGTTGGTAATCAGCGTAAGTTAAACTGTCTGATACGGGAAACAGGCAGCATATAGCGCGTTGATCGTGCGCTATATATCCGGTACGCAACTAGACGGCCAACTAAAAGCAATGGGTATAAGACACAAGAGTAAGCTATGGGAGAAGTTTATCGGACGGGAGGAGCGTTAGCTAATGCTAAAAATAGGGCACCCGGAGAGAGCTAGCTAGGGAGAATGTAGTTGGCGTCGAGAGCGTAGACGGAGCGTCGTTCACAGTCGAGTCGCGTGCCAAAGGCGGAGATCGTTTTCGTGTTTCTAACAAACGGGAACAACGTTCCAACAGGCAAACCGAATGGTTCCCTAATACATAAGAAAGCTATAATTTGAATATTTTAGAATAGTTTACACAGTCATACGAGGGAATCTCCAGGTCGCTACAAGCAGAAGACCTAGTGTTAGCGGGACCATACGCGATGAGAGTGGACAACTGAAGCACAGTTTGTCAAAACGCTGAGCTTTGGGCCGAAGATTTTGCAAAGCAGTCTAACCAAGCTGAGTCATCATTTCCTTTTTCAGGTGTTGAGTGCCCTTCTTCCTGGACCGTCTCCTTGGATCCGCCTTCACTTACAGAAGTCGAACGTGAGACCAAACTGTAGAAATTGTACTAGGCCACAGAAGTAGATAGAATATAGCTAGCCTTCTTCAAATTCGGTGGACTTGCTCCTGTAGATAAGTTACAAGAGCTACTGTCCGCGCACAGCTGCAACAGACGCACACCGCTGTCCGTGTGGTCGGAGTTAAGTACCTACTTCGCACCTAGCTCAGTTTTTGTGGGGCTCACATGACCTAGTTTTGCATTCATATCTCCAGTAACAATCCCTATATCTGAACTGGTCACGCTGCGAAGTAGTGTGATTAGTTCGTAGTAAAATGTGTCCTTGGTAGCACCAGAACTGCAGTTGGTGGGAGCATAAGCTGAAAGCACATATAACGTCTAGCGCTACTTAGTGATGATGTCGTCAAAAGGAAGGCGTACAAAAGACTGTTTACGGGAATTCAATCAACCAACTAGGACTCAGCCAAGGAGCTGAGAAAGATGCCCACCATAACTTGACCAGCGGTTGCCACATCAGCGTCCCGGATGCGTGTAACTAATAGCGGGGAGACAAGCCGGGCGAAGTTAATGTAACGACTACGAGAGTTATTGACCCTATATTGGGACACCAACTAAGTTAATAACTAGGGTGTCCAACGTGCGGGTGCAGGCTGTTGACCGATTTGTCGTAGAGTGCGAAGGCTGAACGCCGCCAGGGTAACGGAATAGCGTGGCCTTATAAGGGGTTGTGACGGATTTGCGTCCAACGAGTGGCGCGGGAAGATAGCTGTATATAATATACTGCCAGTGGTACCGCGGTTGCTGCCCAATAAACCGGAAATTATAGAATACTTAGTAACGAGGGATGGGGCAGAGAGTAAGAGAAACAGGTGGAAAAGAAAAGAGGCATCCGCAGTAGCATGTTTGCGCCTATCCACCCTGCTGTATGCGGTAGATAAGGCGCCCGTTGATAACCTGCGCGACGGCTGATTCAATGCGTGGTTGCAATTCTGAGAAACAGCCATGTGGGCTGACACCGCCAGGGCGCCTATACATAGACAAGAGAATAATTAGGATCGCAAACCAAGGCATGTCCGCAAGAAAGTGGGGAGATTGCAGCGATTTTGTTGTATAGAAATGTACAAAACCTCACTTCCAACCCAAAAAAGTTGAGGACAAGGGGATTGAGTTTGTTTGACCTTTAACCATTGATCAACCTGGTAGGAGAAGCTGAAGGGGCCAGGGGGCACCAGTTGGCGGGTGGCTTTGTCATCGGGAGGTCACCGGTTCGTATCGGCGTAGGTGCAGGTGACCTCACCATTTGCCCAGCCCATGCGCGATCGGTGGTGCCCGCCGGTACGATGTGCACGTGTACTGTTGATGCTTTGCCGGGGTTACCAGGCAGCATAGCTCAATGGTTCGAAGAGGTACGTAAATTGTCGCGCCACATTAAGGTCAAGTATTGTCGCAACGGACAAGCGGTTATCTCAAGATAGTGGCCCAAAGTAAGACGAGATCATTCGTAGAGTGCGGTGGTTGAGACATGCAGCAACAAAAACGTTGCTGTGAGAAAACATGCTGTGGGTTGGATGTGCACTTGAAGAAGAACGGAGAAGCTGTATCAATCCACAGGCCTAGGCTCCTACCAATGCAAGAGACCGTCATCTCCGAGGGACTGCGTCTCAATAAAACTATGTACAAATGAAAGCACGAGTGGGAAGTTTCGCAAGTGCATGAATAATAAAAAATAATAGGTAGAAGAGATTGCATGGCACACCGCAGACTTCAAGCCTAAGGTGAAGTGTGCTAGTACAAAATTGCGAACAACAAAGAAGTGTGCGTGGCATCGATGTGTTTGCATCAGGCATGTGCGACAAAGGAACTAAGAGAGAAAAACCGAAAAGTAGCGAGGAACCGAGGCATCCAAGCAAGGTCAAACTGCAGCCTTACAGTTAGAATGTGTGTTAGTAGTCCGAAGAACGTAAAAATTGACCGTAATCGTATCCGTATGTGTGAACGGAGAGCTGCCCCCAATGAGCGCACCGATCGAACGACCCATCTCTGTGCACTGGAAGTGGAGTTCGAAATAACCAGAAAAACACACATCATGTAACAGAACTAACTGAAATTAATACGCCAGTGACCTGGAAAACAAAATTTTTGACTTTATGTTGACAATCGTCTAATTTGCATGACATGGTCTAAGTTAATGTCAAATGAACGAAGATAAGCTAACGAAATGTTCTGACCTGAACCAAATAGTTTGATGGCACCCATCCAACTTGCTCAGATTCCGATCTGCATAGTACCCATTGTTGCTTCTGGCGAATAAAGTACAATCGATCACCCCGATTAAATGATAAATCCGCGACGTCCTGTATCCATGGGAAAGAGGATCGCAGTAGATGGAAGCAAAGTATTATTTGAACCAACCTGACTTTGAAAATCATACAAACCAATATAAACGGGCTTTGGAGCTGGCCGAACCAACCGGGAAGCTGATTTCGTCCCCGTATAATGTCGAATGAGATCATCGAAAGTATCAAACAGATATTCACCAAATCGGAACTTTTTGGTATTTTGGAGATAAGAGATAAGATACCGCTTTACACCATTGGCTTCTCTAGTGGAGAATGGATGTCATCGCATATGGCCTACTTAACGTCCAAGGCGTACCCGGAACGGGTAGTGCTGTCACGGACTAAATACGTTCCAACAGGTTGGTCCACCAAGATTTCATTAGTTTTTTCCCTGCTGATTTCACCAAAGTACCAGCTACAACGAAAGTGAAATAAATAATTGACCATACGGTGAGTCTGGGATTACTTGACCGGAGGAAACCATTGCGGCTCTACTGTGGCATAGTGGCTGAAACTGAAAGACGAAAACAAAGCTGGAATGAGCGCGTTCGCAAACACTCTAATGGTCCAATCGCGCTCAGAAGGCAGAAGATAGCGTATATATGTCAGCTTCTGAAACACACATGAGGCCAATGGAACAGACTGATACAGGGAAAACAAAAGCAGGGAGAAACTATACAAATTCCCAGTCAGTGCGACTGCCCTTCTTGTATATTGCCACCATAATCGATGAACTCCAGTTAGCCGAGACGCTCTCTTCCTTCCAGACATATTCGAACAGGGAGATCAGTGCTTTGCGGAGGACCTCACCTCCATCCTTAAATAGTACAGGTGGGAGGGAATCCGAGCCAGCAGCACGAAAACGGTTTGGGGCTGTGATCGCCTTTTGGACCACTTCCTCTGATGCAGCCCCTAAACTAACCGTCCATGGTGCATCCTCCATCACCTGAGAAAGAAGACCTCCGGAAGCAGGAGGCTAACTAAACTGATGTTCAGCGTTCAGCCCAACGAGGTATACGGCGCTCCTTATTGTGTATCAGTGCCCCCGCACTGTCTCTGATGGTCTCACATGCCTGATTTCCATGAACAGAAGTGCAGATCAGCTGGAAGAGCTTGCGATAGCCGGAGAGTATCAGCTGCCCTCTCAACCCCGTTGACAATACTCCCTCCGCCATTACTTCTTGTCTTTCCTTTCCTCACTTTTTCCGTTTGTTGAGCAAGAGACTGCCACTGACCTCGTAGTTGTTGCTATCAATACATATAGCTCTTCTCCCAAACCAAGGGTTTAAGTTCACATTGGTTTTTTAACGTCCATACTCTGAGTCAGATCGACCGACAGGTAGCACTGAGTTTTACTGTTCACCCTCCTGGTATTGATGGGTGCTATGTCTCCGAAACGCGCATACAAAATAACAGCTTTGTGACAAATTCTCGAACTTTGTTAAGAATCTAATGACGATAACTCCACTCCGCGTCTGTGGCGATAATGACCGGGAATGTTGGTGTTTGGAAAGAGTCAGTGAGATGGAGATATCCAGTGCTGCTGAAAACAGACGAGTGCTATTCCAGCTCATCTGAAGCACGGATTTTAAAAGAAACCCTCAGTTAGTGAGATAAGAGCTGAGAAAGATGCAATCTCAGCTGCGTCGACTATCCCGTTGGGCGGAACATTCTGAAGAGCAGTTCATCAGGTCTGCTGCCACATTACCGCTTGCCGAATCACCTGAGCCAATGTGGGAAGTAGATGTCACATCTCCCACTTTAGAAGAGATTCTACATGAGCTTTCTTTTGAAAGGAAACAAGGCTCCTATACCCGACGAGCTTCTTACATCTTTGATGACTCTTTGTTGACTGGACTCGCTTCGCTATTTGACACGTTGGAACACTGAAGCGGTGTCTTCAGATTAGCGGCTGTCAAGTGTCGTGCCAATTTTCAAGAAGGGTCAAGGTACTCTGTGCGAAAATCACCGAGGCATTAGCCTTGTTCCCGTTACTCCCAAAAAGCACACGGGTATCATTCTTCGAAGACTTACTGGTCCCCGTGAAAATCGAAGCACTGAAAGCCAGGTTGTCTTCCACTCCGATCGTGGTTGTAACGACCACCTATTTACACTTCGCCAAATTTTAGAGCAGAGACACATATACAAACGACAGACTATAGTGGTTTTCCTTGACCTGAAAGCCTCCTTCAACTCAGTTGAGAACTCCAGGTTGTGGCACTGCCTAGCCATGAATGGCATGCCAGCTATCATCATCATCATCCTTAAATCTTAGCTAGAGATGGAAAACACCTCAGCTATTGTGTCGCAATACAAAAGAAAAAAAGCAAATAGTGGCACGCCCGCTGAGTCCACAATAACGGATGGACCGTTCCGGAGAGAGCTAACAGCTGGCTGCCGTAAAAGAGAGTCATATTATGCCTAACAAGTAAGATCGTGATTGGAGGGGGATGCTAAACAGGAGGGGGATGGACAAAGGAACTCACAACACAAACACCAATGGGGCCGGCTCTTAGCCATATTAGCAAGTGTGCCCAACCAAACGTGTTCACCGTCCTTAGGACCCCAGCCAGGCAGTCGGGATGCACCAACCGACGCCAACTTCGAAGTGAGGGTTTTCATTTCTCTCGACCAAGTCATCACTTGGCCTCCCCTCCTCCTCTTCCAACCGCGCCCACAACGCGCAAACAATGCACGTCGCGGGAGTCGGTATGCTGACATGCGCAACACGTGGCCCAACCATCGGAGCCTGGTGCATGATATAATCGTGCTGAGCGGTTCACTCGCTCTTCCTGCACCAAATACGCGAAGTCGAACACGCTCATTGCTCACGCGGTGTTCCCACCAGACATGAGCTAAGCTGCGAAGGCAGCGAGGATCGAACGTGACGAGTCTCTTCATGTCTGTTGACCTGATGGGCCAGGTTTCACAGCCATATAGGAGAGTTGAACGGACGGCTGCGTTGTAAACCCTGCCCTTCAGGGCGAGAGTAATGTCGCGTCTGCGCCACAGGTAGCGGAGATTGGCAAAAGCACCTCGAGCTTTTGCTATACGGTTCGTAACCTCATCTTCAATCCCACGGGTGCTAATATAGCTGCCAGGTACTTGAATTCCTGAACGACTTCTAGCAGCTCACCACAAAGCGTTAGCGCAGGATTGGGTCCCTGCCAATCTTGAGAAGTACTTTGCATTTCGATGGAGCAAAGCATAGTCCAAAACGATTGGCAGCCAGTGCTAATCGGTTCAGTGCTGTTTGGCATGTTTGGGAGCTGTCACAGATTAGGGCAATATCGTCCGCATACTCCAAGTCAAGAAGTCGCTCACAAGGAAGCAGCTCCACACCTTCTAGGTCGTGTCCAGCGAACGCTGTTTCCATGACTTCATCAATAGCGAAATTGAAGAGGAAAGGTGACAGCGGGCATCCTTGTCTCACACCGCTGGTGATACTGAAGGGTGGGGAGAGTTTGCCATAAACCCTCACCCTGCCCGAACTATGCGCGTACAGCGCTTTGATAATGTTTACATATTTATCAGGCACACCTTTCCTCAACAGACAGTCCCAAAGGGCACATCGATCGACTGAGTCCAAGGCATCTTTTACGTCAAGAAACACGACAACGGTGGGTCGCCAATAAACATGGCGGTGCTCCAACACTTGACGCAATGTAAAGATGTGGTCCATGCAGCCCCGACCTCGACGAAATCCGGCTTGCTCTTCACGAATCTGGCTTTCACGAGTGCCAGTCAGTCTGGGGAGAATGAGAGAGGCAAGCAATTTAGAGGCAATCGAAATCAGACCGATCCCTCTATGATTGCCACATTCTAAACGGGAGCCTCCCTTGAAAATTGGGACAATGACGGAACGGTTCCAGTCTGTCGGGACTGTCTCCTCCTCCCAAATTTTTACTAGCAACTCGTGTAAATCATCTACTAGAGCAGGTCCCCCGAATTTGAAGAGGGCTGGGGGAATTCTATCTGCCCCTGCCGCCTTATGCAATTTCAACAGCCTGATCTCACGTTCGACTTCTGCGTGTGAGGGCGGATCCAAGCAGACGGTCCAAGGAGAAGAGCGCTCAATGCCCGAAGAAGAAAGCGATAACTCAGGTTGGTTAAATTGCCTTGCAAAGTGTTCAGCCCAACGCTCCAAGCGTTTTGACAGGCTGTGGATCGCCCGTCCACTCTCGTCGCGTATGGTCTCGCTAACACCAGGAATAACTTACGATGATTACCAACGGCAGCAGCTGTTTCCATCTCAGAGGCACGATGAGACCACCAGCTTTCGCGGTCCTTCCTAAGGCTAGCACGTAGTTTTGCCCTGAGATTTTTGCGAGCCTCATTGTATTCGCTTCCAGCCGGAATACGTCGGCGACCATCCATAAGTTCCAGAGACTGGGCAGAGACCCAATGTCCGGTTTGGCATTTTGCTTTGCCACATGAAGACATGCCTGCTAACAGCAACGCTTGGCGAATATGCGACCAGTGATCTTCAACCTTGTTTAGTGGGCGCTTACTCAGCCCAGCTGTCAGCGCACTTTGGTACATATTCAGGACATCTGGCTTCGCCAGCTGCTGGTGTCCATCCGTTCACATCGACGTCGCGGACGTCCACCGAAACGCACCCGGAGGTCGGCACATACAAGTGCGTGGTCAGAGTCCACGCTCGTGCTCCAAATCGAGCGACAGTTTTGGACACAGCCTCTCCAGCGGTAACTGATCGCGATATGATCGATTTGCGTCCATGGCTGGCCCGAGGCTGATGGCCGCCAAGTCACACTTCTGCGGGTGCTGTGTTGAAAGTTAGTGCTCACGAGAAACAGGCGAGCATCTTCACACAGCTGTAGCAATCGCTCACCATTATCATTACGGGAGCCTACACCATGTTGGCCGCCCAGATAAAGCTCATCAGAGGACAATTTTCCAACTTGGGCGTTTAGATCGCCAGCCAACACCACAGTATCCGTGCTTCTTCTGTAACGTAGAAGCTCATGTAGTTGCTGATAGAAATCATCTTTTACCGAATCAGTGCTACAGTTTGTAGGGGCGTAGGCCGCAATGACAAACAGGCACCGTTTGTCCCCGCGCGACTTCGTAGCACGGAACGAACCAGCTAATCTAACGGCGCACATCCTACTGTTCACTGGGATCCAATCAATCAGGGCAGCTTCAGCCCGGGGATTCAAAACAATGCCGACGCCAGCTTGACCGGCATTTGAAGCTGCATCATCGTCATACAGGCGCAATGAGAATGTGTCACCAGTGTCGCATGTGGGGGATCTCATGGTAAGCACGGAGCTCGAACCTTGCAGGCGCGTTTCTGGTAAACAGCAAATATCAATCGATAGAGTCTCTAGTGTGCGGCCAAGTGCTGCCGGTTGGCCAATCTGTAGCAAAGTGCGCATGTTGAGGCATGCCAGTCTTAGTGAGACACGAGGACTCCAAAGGGAAAC